ATTCTTCTAAAAAATCTACTCCGAATATTGCGTGATATACTGCCTAGTGTTTACACATTAAATACAAACAATGATTGCAATAGGCCAGTGTGTCACACATAACAGAGCACTTCCAAAGAGGTCCTTTGCCTCTTTTTATTTTACATTCATAGCCATTATATAACTCCTCAAATATATAAAGACACACACACGGAAGTAGAGAATTTTAAAATGGTAGTATCCATTAATATTTGTTGCTTTCTAGAAGTGAAAGCCTCTCAACTTAAATTACTTGATCCATCTTCTAGAGCTCCAATACCAAATCTACAGTTGAGGGCAAAACAAAAGTGAGCAAGGCTATTCAGTAGAACTTTTTATGCAAGATAATTGGACATAGGAATCAGTAGATGCACTAAGGACATCTCAGTTAGGCTGGCATTTAGCAGAATTCAAATCAACAGAACCTATAACGAGGTTGGGAGCTGCCCCAAGTAGGAGAGATGATATCACGGTTCAATATTGTTCATTGTAAAAAGCAAGTGCTGATGGGGACTTTGCAAAAGCTGTCTGGATTATAGTTGACTGGTTTATATTATAAAAGACAGTGATTGGATAATCTAGAATCAGGACAGGATTTTATGTAGGATTCTGTGATATTAAATCATGTATGTATATACTTACAGTCTGCATCAGTTTTGACCCAGTGCTCCCCATTGCCACTGTCATCATCACTGATCATGAACTGGTCAGACGGATAAGACTGGCTTTCTTTTGAGATGGACGGCTGAGGATATATTGTGATATATTCAGCAGTGGACAATACACCTCCATTATCAGATGCCCCCACGTTTGTTATATTGCTCTTCATCATCTCATTTTTGGTGGCCTTATGGGACTTTTGTGCCACTGTTGAGCTGGTTTCTGGATGTACTTTCCTGTGGAACATTTGTAGGATCTGCATTCCTCACATTCTCAAATTAGAAACTTTGGGTTGGAATTCAGTAAGTACACTGGAATGCAGTAAATTGTTATTAACTCGGATCATCATGCCCTTAAACATAATATTTTTGCATGTTAAGTAGAGTATTGAACATGATTGAACAAGTCTAACAGACAAGATTTTAGCTTCTTTTTCATCTTCAATACGTTCTTAGCAAACATGGGATTTGTGTTTCTTTTCTTGAGATTTCTAAGTTATCATATAGACAGCATACCTTGTGCAGTTTTTTGTGATCAGCTGATGCAGATTCAATTGCTTCACCAGATGCTGCAGAGGTGTTCTTGGAGGAAGCATGTAGCAATTTTTTTTTCAGCATCTTTTTCATAAGATGGATAGCAGATTTAGCTGTTTCCTTTTCTGTTTTCTTTTCCCCCTTTTCAGATTTTGCTCCATAATTTTCCTCTACAAATTTAGTCTTCTGGAATAGTTCCCCTAGTGATGTTCTATGCTCTTTCTTTGCCGGCTGAGGCACTGTTTCAGGTAAGCCAATTGCTGATCCGAAAAGATAGTTTTGTAATGGACAGACAATTCCTTCATTTCCATTTGTTTCTGCACTTTCAATTTGCTTTCCACCGAGTGTAATTGTGCTAACATGGCTGCTCCTTCCAGCACTTACATGACTGTTTCTTCCTGATGAGAAATTATAGCTCTCATTTCTATTGTGGGATCCCTGCAGGACCTTTTCCAACTCTTCATTGATTAGTTTCAGTTCAGTTTCTGTCACTTGAGTTTCTTTTTCTGCTATGTTATCCACCGAGACAGAAAACGTTGGTGTCGAAAGGTCGGTGGTGATTGGTTCTGTACCTGTTTAAACATAGTTTAAGCATGGTATCAAAGCAGTCAAGGAGCCTGTCGAGCTC